CTCTGGTCAGTGTTTTTTTTTTTTTTTTTGCTCAACAAGTGCGGGGCTGGGTGTATGTATTTTTTGGCGGGGCTGGGTGTATGTATGTGATGCCAAAAAGTTTGGGAACCACTGCTCTAGAGTGAAGTGGGCCCTTTTTCTATACGCCCTTGAGTTCCCAAGTGCCTTCGAGACCTAAGGATCCCACAGTTCATATGCCGCAGCCCTACAATGCAGCCAGCTCTGGGGTGGAGGGCAGAGCGTGCCCTTACAAACAAGGGCAGGCGGATTTTTGAGGATGGGCGGTGGAACAAAAGCACTTCCCACCCAGGCAGGATGGGCAGGCCTTTGACTGGAGTTTTAAGACAGAACTCTCCACAGAACAGTATGGGGAGGGAGCGGTGTGGAACTTTCACATTTTCATCTCCCTTCCCTTCCCCCTTTTTCTTTTCCATCCAAATTTCCATTCAAGTCTTTGCCCCAGATTTTGAATGGTTGGGTGGAAATCTCCCAAAAACCAGAAGCTCGTTCATCCACCACAGCAGGATGAAGGTTTGGGGCTAGCTCCACTCCTGTCAGTGGCGTCAGGCAGCCCCACTGGTTAACCATTCACACCCCTTCTCACTTCCCCTGATGTGGTTTAGGAAGCCAGCCCCGGCATCAAAAAGGTTTGGAAACACAGGAATAGGTGACACCCGCCCCAAACGATAACTCCTCCCCCCAACGATTTTTCAAGAGACGAGAACTGTACCGTGCTCTTCACTCATTCTCGCCGGTCCCATTTCTTCCAGCGGCCCCAGCTCCATGTCTGATGTGCGTCTGAAATGTAGGGTTGCCAGATACTTTCACAAAAAATACCGAACATGGCAGGAAAGAAAAATTGGTTGAGCAAAAAACCAAACAAACAGGGAGCCAAAATTGTTGAGCACAAAAAAAAAAAAAGGTCGCTGTGACTTTAAATATCCCCACGATCCCCTCGCCAGACACAGAAGGAGAAGAATGTCCCCACCGAGAGAAACAGAAAATAATGGACATTTTATATGTCCGGTATTGTCTGTTTTTTTTACCAGACAGGGGCCAGAAATAACAGACTGTCCAGGCGAAAACTGGACACTTGGCAACCCTACAAAAATGCAAAGTGTGTTTGAGAATTTCCAAGTTCATCTTGTTTCTCTTAAACCCCGGTGGGTCACCCCTTGCTCTGCCCCGCTCCCTCCCTGGGGCCACTCCGGTGCAAGGGGTGCAGGTGGTAGGCCAGGCACACGCCAGTGGAGCGACGGGGACCTACCTCCGTGCACATCCCAAGGGCTGTACCTACTGGGGCTGCTGCGGACAACGTAAGTGGGAGACCGAATCCGTGTCGTGAGCTGAAAACCAACCACAAAAGTTCATTTTCTTTTCTGTTCCTGCGGGTTTTTCTTCCTTTCTTCCTCCATCCGTGGTGGTTTCTGTTGTTCATGTCGTTCCAGGTCCTGCTGTCCCCACGCTGCAAAGCTGAGAAATTGCATTGTCTTTGCTTCCTTTTTCTTTAACAAACCCGCTCATCTCTCAGCCATTGGCTTGTTATTTCATTTTTCTCCTTTGGTGCCTAATGCTGAAGAACATGCTTTCTTCAGCTGCCACCTGCTGGCCAAAGCTAGGAATGACTACCACCGCCACTCCTCCAGGACAGACCTGCAGGCAAAACTCAATTTTAGAAAAGAGCGAGGGAGGACTGTGGGTGGAGAACGTACTAACGGAGGGACGATTCAGATAGAGAGCTGGAGAAGATACTGTTAAATATGACCTGGACTCTGGGGCACACCAAGGGCCCCATCAGAAATACCTTTGGGCTTGGGACAATAGGACATGGACCATCACTAGGGATGCTTTCGCAGGGCTCAAAGTGGGCTGGAGGAACTGCACTATAGAGGCAAGGAAGTCATCCACTCCCCACATCTGAAGTGAACACATTGCTGGGTTCCCATCCACAGATCTCTTCCTATCCGCTGATATCTGCATCATTTTTGTGGATGCAGATACAATTTTTGCAGCTAGGACAGGGTTCCCTGTAAGCTGAGCATGTGGGCAGCCACCCAGGAGAGATTCAAATGCTGCCCAGCTGATTAGCAGAGTACGCACAGCTGGCAGTGGTTCACATCCACCCATGGCTCAGTGCACATAACGAAAATTATTCTGCACGTGGATGGAGAAAAATAGAGGGCGCATTGATCTAGAACCCTGCAAATGTGCAGATATCAGCTTTATAGCCACAGGTATCCACATTCATGGTTCATTTCTGCAGATGCAGATACAAATTTTGTATCTGTGCAGGGCCCGGCTCATGGGCCCACAAGGACACTGAGGCTGGAATGAAGACAATACCCACACTTCCTCACCTTCTTGGGCAGCCCCAGTACTTACCTGCCTTGCTGAAGGACTCTCCTTCCCAAGGCGTGGCTGTTTGATCCTAGCGCATTCAGCCCCTAGGCATGTTCCCGTCAAAGCTCCCTTGAGGAAGGGCTGAGCCGGCTCTCCGGGGACGTCCTGTCTTCTTGTCTGCACCGCGGCCTCGTTCCTTTTGTTCTGCTGCGCTCCTGGCACCCGGTTCCAGCTGGGCCTTGCTCTACCATGCGCCAGGCACTTTCGACCAAAGTCCGGGGTGCGAAAGACAGCAGAAGCCCCAGGCCGGTGTGTGGGCGAGTAAGGGAACGACATGGCGGCTAACTGGGACTCAGCCATTTGTCTCCGACCCAGCTCGGGGCTTGTTAGGACCCAAATCTCACCTCTCCCCTTCTGTCCTAGGCGATGTCCACATTGGGATGGTTGAAAGGAGTGGGCAGCTGGAGGTGGAGGTGATCCAGGCCAGGGGCCTCACCCCGAAGCTGGGGTCCAAGTCCATCCCTGGTAAGTATCCATGCCAAGAAGCCCTAAGGAGGAAGAGAAAGGGCTGGAAAGAACATGAATAGTGCAGATGGCTTGGGTGTGCTCCGATGCCCTGTTCTTGTTTGACTGGGAGTCAGGGTCCTGCCTATGCTGCTTGGGACCAAATTCATCCCCAGTGTAAACCCAACAGAGTCCTGGAGCTTTAGGGTGGTGGGGGTGGAGTCTGGGAAGGAGTTAATGCCTCCGTCTTGCTCTCTCTCATGTTGCTTAATGACAGAGAGATGCCCCCCCAGGTTCCTTGGGGATCCCCTCCAGTTGTGCTGTGGTTAATCCTTGGGGTCTGCTCTGCTTGGAGGGGGAGCAGAGGGGCTTGTTGGCGGAATGCACCAGGCTGTGCGGGAGTTCAGGTTGTTCTATAACAGACACACTGAGGCCAAAATCTACCTGGCAAAGAAGTGAAAAGTCCCTGCACCCCCTCCCCCGCCCCAGCCATTGCCCCAGATATCGTACCATAACCCAGCAGGATCTTCCTTCCAAAAATTTCAGATACCCCCCACCCCACAAACAGACCAGACTTCCCTCCCTATTCCGTCTGCACGGTGCCGGGAAACCACACACCCAGGGCCTGGGCATCCTGACAGGTCAGCATCCCTGTTGAGGAGTGTTCCTGGCAGTGCGTGCCTCAGTTTCCCCGCGGTAGATGAGGCCCACTGCCCAGCTGGTACTGTGGAGGATCAGCACAGCTGGTTTGCGTCTGAGCTTCTGTCTCTCTTGCAATGCAGCAACTTATGTTAAAGTTTATCTGCTGGAGAATGGGACCTGCCTGGCCAAGAAGAAGACCAAGATGGCCAAGAAGACCTGGGACCCATTCTACCAACAGGCACTGCTCTTTGACGAGGGCCCGCAGGGCAGAGTCTTGCAGGTGAAGTAATCCCTTTGCAAGGGGAGGTGGGCAAAGGCCGTGTCTTAAAGGGAAAGCTGCGGGTGTCAGTTCCCTAATGGCTGACTGTAGAGAGACCCGGTCAAATGTCCTGTCTCTGACGGGAGAAGCAGATCCAGGATCAATCAGGGAGGGAACTGGGAGTCTGGATTCCTGGGTTCCCGCCCCAGCTCTGCCCTTCATTTCCTCCCTGAGGCACCTTCCCCTCTTGGCACAGTAATTACCGCCAGGCCAAGCAGAGGCCTCATTAACGAAGGTTCGTCAAGTGCTTTCAGCACCTGGGACGGGAGGGACTTTTGACCTTTCCCTGGATCCAGTCGCTCAGAGGTGCCCACGTCTCATCGGTGGCCAGGCTGGCAGGGAGCCGAGGGTCAATATCAGCACCCAACCGGGTGAGTGTTAGGCTGACGGAGGGAGAGCTCCAGAGCCAAAGAGGCTGAAATCCTGGGGGGCCTGTTGGAACTGCAGTTAGCCAGAGAGGCGAGTCTTTAACTGTGTCGGTCAGCGATGGGCAGCCGAGGCTGGTGAGTGGGCTGCACCGAGGAGCCTTCCTCCTCGGCGAGCCGCAAATTTGTCATCCCCAAG